TATAATGCATTCTCAGGAAGACCAGACAACAAGAAGTTGCATTAGTCCACAGTGCAGATGGTAAGACTGCATGTAGGAGCATACTCAGCTCTGGCCTAAAGGAGCAGAGGTCTAGGTTGAGCAATATTCATAAAAGGATAGTGGAGTTTCATGAATATTTACTGGCTCCAGTTTATCAAAACAAAGTGTGGCATTAACCCTTACCTGATTCGACTAAGAGCTGGAATATTTAATGATGTCTCCATGGGAAAGGTAACACAGAGTAGGATCTTGTAAGATTGGTAGGAACATGAAGGCCATTCTGGGTAAGAGATACAGCATAAACCAAGCTATCACAGTGAGAATTCATAAGGTGTATTTGAGGCAAACTGACCACCTCTGCTAGGTGAAAGAATAGAACTGATGTTGAGAATGGTAAAAGATAAAAATGTCAAGTTTAGCCCATAAGTAAAACAATTTAGCAATCCTCTTTTAGAAAGGCTGGCAAGGCCTGTTGTAACTAACCAATGATACGATGAGTGGCATTATTATTTGGAGGAGGCTGGATATTGGCAATGAACCTCATTGTTCTGGCAGACAGTTTTCAGAGTACACAAATAGATAATCTGGAGAATGGATCAGGAAACTTACAAGAGGGAATATTTTTCAGGGAGAAAAATGGTAAGAAGGGCTTCTTTATAACTGATTAGATAATCTGCTTTGCAATAAAGACTCAAAGTTAGTACAGTGTCATGGAATGGGTTAGGCACTGAATGACAGGTGACATGGAAATTAGTCCTGGCACTGCCAACACCTGGCTCAGGATCGATTTTATGGGCTAAAAGATAAATTTTAAAAGATAAAAGATAAATTTTATGGGCTACAGTTATCCATAAAAGAAAGATGTTGGGCCAGATGATTCCTGAGTACCCATCTTTGTGCAACACTTACACATGACACTTTAAAACACGCCTATGCTGATGATCAGAACCTCACTGCAGTCAGGAGCCATCACTCTGACAAATGCCCTTGAAAAATGCTCTCATTGCCTATCCATGGTGTACGCTTTTATTTTCTAAGCACATATATGACTGCAAAAATAACACCCAGACTGAGTGTTCAAGTCTCATATCCAGCAAGGGAAGATGCATATGATGATGGTAACTAAGGACTTTATATGTATTAACTCAATCGTTCCCATGGTACAGATAAAGAAACTGAGGCAGAGAGGTTATATAATTTGCCTGAAGTTGCAGAGCTAATAAGTGACTGAGCTGGAATTAGAAGATAAGCTGTGAGGCTTACGGTATGCAGTCTTACCCTCTCTGCAAATCCTGCCTCTCTAAACATGGTAGAGTTGTGCCAAGGCTGGTGTGAGAACTCAAGAGAATGTCTTGGATAAAACATCCTTTTCAAGGGAACTGGTGGTAAGGGGCCTCATTTCCAATGAGTGCGTGTGGCCACTGTGTTACAAGATTCCCCCAAAAAGTTGATCAAGGCCATATCCTTGATAGAAATTTGCTTGCATATGTGAGGTCTGACTTCCATTTAGAACCATATTGTCTCCAGGCCTGCTAGCCTGTAGAGATTTTCCCTTTTGACCCCTCCAGATATTAACGGCCCATGTCAGCAGACACATGTTAGCCTTTTATTTCCCACTCTGTCCCCTTCCTCAATATTTCCAGTCAAATTTAGCTTGGGGTGGGGAAAGAGTGAAAAAGTGTATGCAGCTAGTCTGCCTTCTGAAATCAAACCTGACACATCTGCTTTTTGCATACTTGAAAAGCCAATAACCCTTTGGTTTCCTGAACATTTCACCTTGAAGATCTGGGAAAGAAGAATCAAGAGTGACTCTTCAGGGATCATAATCCTGACCAAAGGCCCCTCCCCAAAATATTAATTCATTCTCTCTAATGCTTGCATGACAGTCTAAGGTCACTCCTAAAACATGTCAGCTGCTCTTCAAGCTGATGGAGATATGTGTCATTAGAGACTCTTGTTAAAAGCCCCAAGTACTTCTCACTCTGACCAGGGTGTCAGAGGTAAAAAGTCCATGAGGGTTTTATCTGCTGATCCAGCCAAGCCTTCCACAGCCACACAACCTCCAGATGGCAAGTTATCTACTTTTAAGTCACTCTTAGAAGATCTTCAAATGCTTATTGCAAAGATGACACACTTTCCTTGCGGCTCATTTTACTACATTAAAAATTACACCTAAGTGTCTCTTGAGGTGCTTTTTCTCCCTTCAAAAATTATTTCTCTGAATTAAAATGTGTTTATAGAATTTCAGACAAGGAGTAAGCAATCCCTTCTTTTTTACCTGCCAGTGGATGTCTGAGTGCACAGTCTTTCTGAGAGCAGGAGGTCCCCAGGGTTACTAGTGTAATTCTTTTTACTCTGGGGTGCTCAAGCACAGAATTGCCTACAATCAATTTGCTTTCACATTCTGGCATTAAACTCACTGTATATAAAAGTATCACAAGTATTTTCAATATAATTCTAAGTAGCAGTGATTTAAAAGGCTTTTTATTGTAATGAAAAAAATTACAAGGCATACTAAAATCTGTACAGCCTATTTGACTGAATCCAATCAAACACATGTAAGATTCTCCATAACCTCAAAATGGGTAAAAATGACTTAAAAATTAAGAAGGGCAATTGATAGGAGTCTTTTTTATATATGACAGATGAAGCAATATACCTAAACAATATTTTGACTTTCTGGTTTCTAAAAATATAGAATGCATCATGATTTAACTTAGTGCTATAGGGAAGCAGGGACCTTTCAAAGATATAGCTCTAGCTATAAAACTATAGATATTGACAACATCGTCACCTAAGTATACAGCTATTTTTCAAGGCAAAACCAAAAGACTTCTAATAAAATATATGTTATTGGTTGTCAGGAGTACAGATGATGTCTACTGTTGCTGTTTGATTAGAAGGCAGGAAGCATGACTTAGACATCTCCAACCACTGCTATTCAAAACAAGCACCATTAATATCCAGCTATACAAAATACACGTGAACCTCAACGTAAGTATAACATAAATATAAAAATATGATTATAACTGTCATGGAGTACCTGACACATAGTAGGCCCTCAATAAATATTTTTGAATGAATGAATGAAAGAATAATGAATAAAGCATAGTCATAGGCAGTCTGCTTTTCTATACTATTTTAAAAGAGTTATTTTCACTTTTGTCTTTAAGAGAAATGAGTAAAGCAAATTAGAAAATTGAATTACAAACTGTGGCTTGATAACTGTTTGACATACAGACTACAAAACCATCTCTTCTGACTTGGTTCTCAACCATTGGTTCCAAGTCTTCCAAGTGTTTATGCAAAGGCAGGGCTGTCCTCCCACACCATCAAATGGCATGGTACTGAATCCCACAAGAGCTAACAGAAGAAACACTGAGTTTGTTATTTTATTAACTTAAAAGCTAAAAGAAATAGAGTTGCCAGATAAAATGCAGGAAACTCAGTTAGACTGAATGACAGATAAACCATGAATAATATTTTAGTATAAGTCTGTCCTAAATATTGTATGAGACATATTTATACTAAAAAATGACTTATGGTTTATCTGAAAGTCTACGTTAATTAGATACTATGTATTTTTATTTGCGAAATCTGGCAACCCCAGAAGGAAAGCAAATGTTCTGACTAAATACCAGTTGTTTCCATACATCTAGACTCTGGTAGAACAGGTGAACCTTTGAATAAGAAGCAATGGCACAATTATCTTTGTTCATTATTCAGTGATGGCCAACTTTTCGTACTTCACTAAAATGATATTTTTAAAGACCCTTTATCTTGCAGCCACTCTGCAAGTTGAATAATGCTTCTAAACACAATCATTACATGTAGACGGTGATAGATTATGAAAAGTGAAGAAAGCAAACACAGAAAACATGTCAAAAGGCAGAATAAACATTTTTGACATTAACAGTCCCCTTTAAGAGGATATTTGTAGCTTATATGTTTCTACAAACTTATATTCAGATACATCAAAGATAAAAATGACCTCTCAAAAAGTCTTGAATCTTGATAAAATGTCAACTGTGTTATTATACTGTGAAAGAAATTTAGTGTTTATGAAAGGTGGCAGATTGACTGATTGAATGATTATTAATATGTATTACATACCAGTAAGAAGCTAGAGGCTATTCAAACATGCAGGCCAAGTCTCCATGGCCTAAGAAGGAAGGGGCCTATCTTGGAGTGGTGGGTTACAAGGTCTTAAAAGGGCAGGATGACACATGTTGTTGCCGAGCAGTGGGTTGAGATATTTGTTCAAATGAGATCTGACAATCCACGAAAGACAGTTAGATAGAAAATTCTTAAAACTAAGTTTATCATCTAAAATCTAAAATTGGAACTTTCCTTCTATGTCAACAAAGGGAGGCATTTTATATACACATAAACACACACACACATATATACACATGCACACATATATGTATAGCTCACAAATATTCTATATATGTATACATACCCACACACATATCTATGTACATATATATATGTATACATACATATTGTTCCTTCCCTTTGACTGTGTTAATAATCTATATAATTAAGACGATTCTCCATTTTCCCTTTGAAAGGCTGTAGAAATACTGTTTTTACAGTTTGGAACTCTATTGGGAAAAAAGAGCCTTATTCTGAGGCCCAGATCAAGCTTTAGTGTTTGTATTGTCAGGAAGCACTTTAACCATGTCTGCTAAGGCCTGAAACTGTGAACACAGGAGAACTCACTCTTCTTGCTGGGGCTTTGCTTGATAGTTGGACATCAAGGGGGCACTTGAAATAGAACTATTATGCTCAGAAGACAGATATATATATATATATATATATATATATATATATATATATATACACACACACACACACACAGATATATATATACACACACACAGATATATATACAGATATATATACATATACACACACACACACATATACACATACATATATACATATATATTTCATAAAGTTTTCATATAACACTGTATGATTGGCATTATTTTTTTTTTCGTTTTACTAATAATAATCTGATAGGATTAAGAGAATTTGAATAGTTGCCCAAGATCACAGAACCAAAACTTGGTGAATCCAAGATTCTAATTCAGGCCTATCTGACTCATGCTGCACTATAATACTTCTAAATCTGGAACATCTCTTTCACTATTAAATAACATATCAGAATCTTGAACTAGTCAAAGGAAAAGCTTTATTCAAAGGGAAGGCAAACAAGATAGTTGATTGCTTCTATTTTCAATGATGGCATTGTCTTAGATTAATTATAAAATGGTGGTTCCAAGGCAAAAAAAAAAAGAGTTGCTATCGTGAAACTCTTTCAGGTAACTCTTGGGGTATGGCATTTTCCAAAATACATTATTAGAAATACAAAACCTGAAGTTACATTACCCATTTAACACTAAAATTAAAAGCAGAAAGTTAATCAGGAAAAATAGACTCTGTTAACTTTGTTTTCAAGGATTAGAATTCTCTTAAAAGTTACAGCTAAATAAAAAGGAAGCATAAAATAGAAACTTTAGATCACAGTACAAAATAAACTTCAAATCAGATAGTAACAGGCTGTAAAAGCGTGGCTTCTAGAGTCATGTAACACAGATTAAAATCACAACCCCACCTCTTGCTAGTGATGTGATCTTTGCCCCTCTGAGCCACAGTCTCCTCGTCTGTAAAATAAATATGATAAAGGAACCTTCCTCATAGGGTTGTCATGAAGATTAAATGTAATACTCCATGTAATGTACTGGGCATACAGCCTGGTAAATAGCAAGCAGTCAATAAATATCAGCTCTTACTTTTATCATCATTACAGCCTTTTATTTAAAATGGATATGCTGACGTAAAATGAGGGGTTTGCATTTATCTCTGCATGTTTCAAAGCTAAAGACTCCTGGACACTCAAAATCTCAAATAGTTTTCTCTAAATAGATATTAAAATGTTCCTGGCAATAGCTGCTTTTAAATAACTCATTTTCCAAGGCTGAAGCACAGAATTCAAAATCCCAGGCCGAGCCCATTTATACTGCCCTGTTGTAAGATGCTACACACAAAAGTAATTGTTTGTCTTGCAGATCCTTTGTCACCCAAAAGCTCCCATAGCCACACAATTAAGTTTAGGCCACTCAGGTTTTAGCATTCTTTTTCTGAAATGGAGTCTACATGCATTACTCTGTGTGTGTGTGTGTGTATGTGTGTTTCTGGATGAATGATACAATCTACAGAGGTAGAGCAAACATTACAACGCCTAAGACTGGGTACTTCAACATCCAATTAGAGTTGGGTGAGTTGTGCCACAGCCCAAAGGCCAGATGCTAAAGTCACCTGGTCCAGCCCAGCACAGGCCATCGCCTATCCCTCCTGCATGGAAAGCAAAGCCTCTAGGGATTTCACTGAGCCACAAAGCTGAAGACCCAGGCATGCTGCCTTTTTTTCCTCCTAAAGAAATTTACATGCTATTTTCCCACCCTGTCCCTGAGCTGGGATATTGAGGTTAAAATGTACCTACTGAGTAGGTAATGCATTTGGTATTAAGGATCCATCATATTCGTATGTCTTCTGAGCATAATGGTTCCTTTGGAGCTATTATAGGTATGCCGTGAATAGATATTAGAAATAATACACAAAGAGTGGCTGAAGGAGATCCCATATTAACTACTGTCAGACTTTTAACATTATTCTAAAATAAGCTTTTTTTTAATTCCTAGGGTTTAATACCTCTACACTTTGTAAACTGAGCGCTTTTCAAAGAGAGCTCCAAATTCCTACAGAGCTGTCTTTAGGTGAGCTTTGATCTTTGCAGGGCACCTATCTTGTGTTTCTATAATTGCTGTGGTTTAACAAGGCTCCCTAGCATGTGAAGGGGGGCAAATCCTTTTATTAAGGCTATAAACCTAACTGACCACAGCGACGGAATGTGCAGCTTGGTGGTAGCCCTTAGCTCCCCAGGAAAGAAAAAAAAAATTGAAACCAGGGAAAGTCTTCATGTTAAAACCAAATGAAATATTTATTAAACATGTTTCTGGTGTCCCAGGTGGTAAGAGGCTGCACTGTGGTCCGCTGAAAGGTTTGATCTTTGTTAAGTATTGTGAATGCTGATTTCAATAATGGGGTGAAAGCTGAGGAAGTTATGGCTGAAATTTTGGCTAAAGATGACAGCTCCAGGTTTCAAGTTGCACAAAGCAGTCTGAGGGATTAAACCAACAAAGCCTGCTCAAAAGTATTGAGTTTCCAAAAGTGTAATCTTCCTATCAATGATTCACACTCCTAGGATAAGGAGGATTCCTCATTTACTTTGACTTTGCCATATTAATCTTACTTTACAAATACATGTGGTGATTTATATCATGTTTAATTAACTGATTGAGGGCGCCAGTGGTAAAAATGGCATCGCATTAAGCTCTGTCCGTATGGCAAATTCGAATCACATCCTTAGCCTTGCAAGAACAAAATATCCCGAGAGTCACTGATGACAGGATGTAGGAATTGAAATCAGGTCCCTCCTGTTGTTTGAGAATCTAGGGAGGGTGCCTGCCATATGCCTGTCACTTCCAGGGGGGGGAAATGACAGGATAAAAGAAAGGAAGGCTCTAGTTCTTCCAATATGTTCAAATCTCAGATGAAAATGATTGTGCAGCAGTGCTGTACAGAGGCCAAGATTCACATGAAAGTACATCTCAAACTTTGCAGAGAGCTTAATGAGAGGGTTTTGTGGTGTTTTGATATGTGGGGTTTTCTTTTGTTTTGTTTTCTGAAATGGCTGCTCAGGGTTTTTGAGAACTGAGAGGCGAAAAAGCTGTCGTTTAGAGTTAAAAATAATAAGCAGGTTTTTTTTTAATAAAAGAGGGAATTATTATTTAATAAAATATGTGCACACTATGATTCCATAGAAATCAAATTGGGTTTGACAACTAAAACCACACATTGGGATACTCGTTTTAAAATTAACATCTTTGAAAATGGGAGTTGCCTAATTTTTCTCCTCAAAAATCTATGGTGATTATTTATGACATCTAAAGAAAAAATATAAATTGATTACTGATGATAATTTTGAAATGTTAAAATGCACTTTAAATTACATAAGACAACATAATAAAAGCTTGAAAAGAGAGTAAAAAATCCATTTCAATCTTTAATTTGATGATTAACATTTTTGTGCATCCTCTTTTAGTGTTTTATTATTTGCATGTGTTAAAATTATTATAATCATGCTACACCTTCATCTTGTATCCTTTTTTTAACTTAGTATTTTTTCCCATATTTCTAATACTGCCGCATACCAATTTTATTGACTGCATAATATTTCATCAAATGAATATTGTCATCTTTGCCTAACCAAGCTTCCATTGCTAGATATTAAAATGCCTTCCAATGTTTGCTATTATAAATAATGTTTTAAAGAAAATTTTTACATATGGCTTTTTCCACATTTTGAATTATTTCCTTGCAGAGATTTCCTATACCAGTTTAGGTTGCCATACTGTTTAGGTTTCTTAAAAGATTGTATGGAAGTAAAGACATTTTTCTTCCAAGGAAAAGTAGAAAGTAAAACATTCTATAATGGTGTCATTATATAGAAAACCAAAAATCTTACTTGAAATTAACATGAAATCTGAGTGGCGACTTCACTCCCATAGTATTGGCAACATGAGAAAAATATTTAATTTTTACTGTTTTGTTCTCTAAATGTTGTGTTCTTCTTTAAAATAAGCATATGGTGACAATGAAATAAATTCAGAAATTTCTATTTTGTTTTACTCATCACTTATTGTTTTGATTTAGAAAAAAGTCCTTTCAAGTATAATTTAAGTTTTGAAATTTTTAACAGTTTCCTAGAGGATATTACAAATAGACTATTAAGTCAGCACTAAGGTCACTTTTTAAAATGATCATTATTTTGGTTAAATCTGAAGTATGGTCCTCATAATTAATAATCTTAAATGTTTTCATGGCTTCAATTCAGAATATGATAAATTGGGTAAGTTAGGCAATATATTCTAACTAAAACCACTTTGGATTTTGACAAGGAATTCAAACTTTTCAACTGTGCTGTGTTGCTGCATAAGCAGCCTGTAAAAAGAATAATCACCTCAATTTTTTCAACTTCCTGGAATCATTCAAAACAGAGTAGTTAAGGATTGCTTCATTTGGAAGTAATAAGTTCCAAAACAGTCTGCCACAGTATAGTTTAATTACTGGTCTCAATTCTCAACCTTGTAGATTTTCTTAACCATCCTATTTTTTGTTTTGTTTTGTTTTCAAAAAAAATGTACAAACTTAAAATTCTATTGGCAGCCTAGTTTATCAAAAAAAGTTAGTTGCTTTATTTAACTTAGTCTATGATTTTATGAAATACCATCAAATTCAGGTCAAGGGTATATTAGGGATCAAATAATTTTGGAAGCCAGAAGTGCATTTCCCTAGATGGTTTCTTCCAGCCCATGTTATTATTAGTCTGAGATCATGTAACAGCTTTTGTTTTCCAAATCTATTCCTTTCAGTGAAGTCTATTTCTTTGCATAGTTTAAAAACAAAGGATAAACATTCCTTATGGGGCACTGGAAGGAGAGGTAATTCATGTGAATTTGATAAAACATAATGTACTGGACTGACAGTAAAAAGGCTTTGCTTGTTTGATTGTTGACTAGTTTTGTCTTTAAATAATGGTCTTCTTTTGGCATTTAATGTATATTTGGTCACAATAAACATAATTTATGAATATTTTAACACATGCATACTCAGTGGGGTGGATTATCATACTGATATAAATAGAATTAATGAGCAGTCAACCCGCCACATGCCATGACATATGACGGGGCAGCCAGTGCACAGAAATAATCCTCATAGTTTCACAATAAAGCTTTTCTCTTAGTTCAACTTTTTAAAACTACTTACAGTCTTATTTCCCCTTTCTGTTGGAGTACGGTTCACCAACCTGTGAAACAAGATTCAGATTTTACTACAAGAATCTACTTCTTTGGCATTCAAAAAACAATTTTCTTGCTTTCTCTAAAACAAAATAAATATATTTGAACAAAATAACTCTATTAGGCCAAATTTCAGGGAATAGGTTATAGATAGACAAGACATATGTGTATTAGAAAAAACTGCTTTATTCTTTTCTTCTTTTCCTTTTATGACAATAGCATGATTATGCTCAATTGCTGCTACCAGATCTTTAAAACAAGAACAAAAACTTTCTAAACAGTTCTACATTCTAAAACAGATCCGATGGGCATATTGCCTGGATAAAATTATTCTGGAAAAAAAAAAAATCTTCTTAGCCAGTTATCTGCTCTCCTTGAACACAAAGCAACAATCTGTTAAGCGTGCCTAATAAGATTTTTTTTAAAGGAAAGAACTCACTAGTATAAAGCCACCTCTTCAAATGGTACGTACTGGGGGGACACATGGGCATGCAAAATCTTCAATTTAGCTATACTTTATTTAACAAAGAATTATTTTTGTGAAGAGACAAATTGAAATTTAAGATTAACCTTCATTTTCTCTTATTATTTTCACAGTTGGATTACAGGCAAAAGCGGGAAAAAATAAAACTAGCATGTGCACTGCATTGTCCAGATGATCTGGCAGGAGGAGAGCCTTGGCAGAGATATTATACTATGACTTTTTACAAACGCAGATGGCAGGGTTGCAGCCTTTATTCCTCTTATCTTTCATTTTCAAAGGGAATACTCGAAGTTTTCTGCCACCATCCCCTCCACTCCTACCCTCCTATGTAAAAACACTGTCTCCCCAAATCAAAGCTCTATCCTAAAACAGGCAAGCCCCAGGATGCATCAGGGAAGGGACGGACTGTGACACCAAGCTCCTGGTCATCTGTGAGAAGAGAGAAGTGCACTGTGTTGTATGGGCTGGGGCCTGATGAACTTCCCCGGAGTGACTCCCTTGGGGAATCCAGCCCTTTCACCGGCAAAGAAAATGGGCACCACCTAGTGCTTTTTTAATGCAAAGGCTGTTTGTGCTGGTGTGGACAGGAGTGGGCATGCGTTGGCTGACCTTTACAAAGGAAAAAAAAAAGGAGTCAGGTGGCTTTAACCCCTATGCCAACTGAAAGAAGCAGCAAGGGACAATCTTAAGACAAAGGAATTCAGTGCTTCCAAATTATGGATTTCTTTGGATTTCATTTGTTTGTTTTGTAATAACTATTGGTCTGTTCATGAGAAATAACATCTTTACTTAACAAGACGCTAATTTCCTCTGTATCACGTTTTTGCCTCTTCATTTCCTCTGAGGTTAACTTGTAAGAATTTCTAAGAATTTTCATTTGGTCCAAAGTGACAAAGCAGAGCAAGTGCCGGCCCACTCCCACCCCCAAAATCTATTCTAACAAGCAGTCTCTCTGGAGTTCTCCTAACACAACAAATAGCTTTTATGAAAAATGATGTGTAGCACAAAATCTTTTGCAGTGCAATAAGATCAAGTTAACCACTCATGCCTCTAGGAAAAAGCCTAGGAAGTTTTATCTGATTGGCAAAATGGACCCAGATATGAGTTCAAGGATTGAGTACACTTTGATGAAATTTCACAGCAATGAAGTCTGATTATCTGAATGATTGCTTAAGCCTTTTAAAACATAACTTGAGGAAGCACTAGATTTTTCATTGGGAAAACAGATGGTCTTGTAGGGAATCACAGCACCGCCATCTCATGCTGTTTACGTTTTCTACAACACTTTGCCTAGAATTACTCTTACTACTATTGCTTTTTAAAAATAATAACAATGGTTTCTTCATTGCTAAAAGGTAGATCTTTCTGAAATAAAATTAGAAATCTTAGTGGAGGGCAAGGTGAAGGGCAGAAATGGGAAGAATGAGTAACCTGCTACACCTAACTGGATTAACAAGGACCTGCTTACATATCCAGGAACTAACTGGCTGGCTCTGAACTCATTAGGGATCTGCTTATCTGTTATGCTGTACACCAGAATCCAGACAAAAAACAGACTGTGAAGAAACAGACTAAAAATGATTGTAACTTCTCTCAGTTAAGAGTTCAGTATCTGTGCTAAGCAACCTCTGTAGAAAGGACTGAAGAAAACAAAGCCCAAGATTCTGAACTTCGCTCCACTGCCTATCCCCAAGTTCTGCCGTTATAAGATGGCAATAACGCTACTTAGATATAGAACTTCGCAACTGTATTATGAACTAACCTGAAAAGTCAAATGCACTCTCATCTCTTGGTCATTTTATTGCTGTAATTTATGATATTAAATAGGTGATTTGTTTAAAATAAATTTTAAAATTTATACCAAGGAGGAAAAATAATCTTAAAATGGGTTTGTTCTATGAGCATCAAGAAAGAAAAAAAAAGTGAGTAGTGAACTGATCTCTTTGAGATTTCACTGGCACAAAATATATCCCTTTAGGCTTAACACTAAATAGGTGATCTTGTCTTGACAGACTTAAGATGCACATGAATTGATTAGCTGAAGCCATCAGGTGTGGCTGAGCCTGTCTTTTTCCAAATATGTACCTACAGGACAATGGAAGGAGGTAGCTATTGTCATTGCCTTTTTAAGTGGAAGGAGTATTATGTTTTGTATTCAAGTTGAATTCCCCAACTCTTCATATCACCACCATTCTGGTCAGCCTGAGTAAGGGAAGAACAACAACAACAACACTTACTTTCTTTTTTTCTTCCCTGCCCACCCAGCCCCCCTTTTCCACTGCCTGCCTTGCCCTGAATGCTATAGTTCACAGCGAAACCCTCTGGTAATGACAGCCCTGAAGTGATAATGTACTTTCCTGCCTTCCTGTTAACGGCAGCATAATCCCGCCATGTGTGCCAGCCCTGTGGCAGAAGGATGCGTTCATATTTTCTGGAGGTAAAAGGGACTGGTTCAATTTATAGCCTTGACTACCTCAGCAGTTTCACTAAGTTCTGGTACATAAACGGATGCTTTATTAAAGAAGAAAAGGAAGGTAGAAGGGGAGGAGGAAGAAGAGGAGGAAGAAGAAAAGAAGAGAAGGAAAGGAGGTGGAAAGGAGAATTCGTCTTTTTCTGCTCAATATTATGTCAGTCAAACCAAATAACATGTTTTGGTTCCTCCCCCTGAGCATTCCACCCAGGTAAACAAGGAACTAAGGTGAGTAATATCAAATAAACGCACTGGACTTGGGAGATGTGGGCTCCCTGTGTAATAAGCAATGGGTAGCATGTGATAACACATTTATCCTCTCCCTCCCCTTAACTCACCTCTGCTGAGAGAAGCTGTGCATGGCAAGTGGCCCCCACACACCTGGCTGGATGACATCTGAGGGCTCAGAGGGCCCTGCTGCTCAAGCGTGCCAGAATGGTCCCACCATCCTCACACTCACATTTTTGATGGATGATGCGTCATTCTGCTAAGGTAACAAAAGTGAAAACAATCAATAGTTCTAACCAAATATCTTATTTTAAGAATGGGGCCAGAGTGATTTATTGGCTATGAGCAGCTCAGGAGACACTATTTGTCGTTGTTTAAATACAACTGATTTTCCTTGCTTCAGAACCTTGCTTCAGAGCTCCTGGTGTGCCAAGCATGGGTGAATTTGTAATATATGAAACAATGATACCTGTTTGTTTAAGGACACCTTGTTTGCTAATGTCAGTGTTGCATTACTCTGTGGTTCCAAAACTTCAAGTCCACACTGGAGAAGGTGGGGGTAGCCTGTGGACAGAGGCAGTAAAGAAGGGACATTGTTTTGAATGCCTGTTAGCTTGTAGGCACAGTTCTATGTTCTTTTCTGTAAAACAGGCCAATGATACTGGAAGCCAAGAGTGTCTGGCTGTGGAGCCCCTGTTTCTCCACTATACCAATAATCAAAACTCACCATGAGAAGTACATTTGTAATGTAAACCAACACACGCATACATTACCAAAACAAGGTTTCACAAAACAATATTTACCTTTATATAGACAATTCACTCTCATTTTACCAGTCCTACTCCATAATAATTCAATTCTTTAAAATTATGGTTGCAACCCCACTAAATTGGCCTCATAATCTACCACTGTAATATGGCCCACTGTTTGACACACACTGGAGTACACCTTGGTACCCTTCAAATTTTTAAATGATGCTGTGTTGGACTTGGTACCTATGTGATGATCAAGAGTGTATTTGAAGATGTTGCATAGAAAGTCCCATCCATATGATTCAGTTTTTTTCATCTAAGAACTAGAAATTATAATATTTATTCCCCAAAACTCCCCAGTTGAATTCACTGGAGGTGTTCATTGCTTCTCAGAGAGTCTGTTACTTAAAATAAAAACAATTAAAATTAAGATAGCAAGTATTTTAGCAGCAAAAGCCACAAAAAAAGAAGAATAATTATCATTGCTATTGTTAACAATAATTGTTGAACTCACAACCTGCTGGCCACTGCTCTATGAGCTTTCAATATAACTCATTCAGTTCTCACTATCACTTCATGAAGTAGGTAAATATTATTTTCACTTTACAGCCAGAATTCCTTTATCTTCTTTTTCATAAATTTCTCATTCTAAACTGTTAATATACATCTCAGAAAATAAATGAGATTGTGACTATGACTCAAGAAATACATATTTCTATGGTTGGTTTAAATAAAATACAAAAGCCTGTATCATCTAATTGGCTTGATAAATCTTACTAGCTTTTCAACAATCATGAAATTTATATTTTTTTGTAGAAAACTTTTAGAATACTTAATGAAAAGTTAGTATGTATTCACCTCCAAAAGACACAAATTTCTAGGTATAATAGTCAATAATATCTGCAAGTCCAAATGTAATAACAGTGCCAGGGCTGGTTGATTCAGCAGCTTATCACTGTCATTGGGGACTCAGATTCTCTCCATCTTTCCACTCTCCCATCCCTCATCAGCTTTGTCCTATGAAGGCTGCACAGATCCAGGTGTCACATCCAGCATCACAGTCACAAGAACAAAGGTCTCTTTCTCAGGAGTCAACTAAGTGCCCCTTAAATCCCAATTAGCAAATTTCCTTTGCTAAAAATGAGTTATATGCCAATTCCTAAACTAGTCACTGTTAGGGTGTAGAATCACTGTGAATGGATTAGAAAAGATCTGCCTCCTGGAACTAGGAATGAGGTTCTTTGCCCTGAAGCACAGAGATCTGTGGACAGGAAGAGGGGTCTTGCGGGAAATACATATACTGAGTAAGCAGTGTCTGATACAAAGACGAAAAATATTTCTTTTGACAGGAAGATTTGGTAAAATATAATATAAAGTAGAATTATTTCTCATTATTTAATCTGTTTAATGTTTCATAAAAATTAGCAAATTTAATGAGGAAATATATCTGTAAGAATCCACTATGCATTTGCTGTTTGCTCTGAAATTAACAGGACTCAGTGCTTTCATTACTAGAAAGAAGAAAATTAGGTAGGTTAATAAAACAAACATCTGGAAAGTATCAACACTCATAAAAATAAACGGAATCACCCTGTGTATACACTGAAGCCAGGTTGGCATTTGTCAACAACTACAGAGAAAACACTACAGAATTTACTACTTCCGACTTCCTGGGTGGGTTTGTTCTCATTCATTTAATATATTTTCCTAAGTGAAAATTCAGTTTTAGCTTTTGAAATACAACCATATAAGAATATGTAGACTAACAGTGTTTACTAGTTTTTAATGATGCCTACAGTTTCCCATATTTGGTTGCATTTTTCCTGCTATACTATTGCTTCTGAGCTACCTGTTCCACTCTCAAAAACATGCAAGCTGGGATTTTTTTTTTTCTTTTCCTTTAACTAGTTATTTTGCCAAACTTTCAGACTCAGAGTAAAGAACTTTTATTTTTCACCAACCTAATGATTACAAAAGCAGTTTTTAGAATAGCTCTAAGAATTCTCATATAGCCTTCATCTGCATTCCCCAAATGTTAACATTTTACTACATTTGCTGTATCTCTCTTTGTGTGTACATGCACAGACATACACGGAATGTCTATGCCTTATATACACATGTATACCTCTGTGTATACATTAAGTATATATGCACACATTTTTAATAGATTCTGAGGTTTTTAATCATTTGAGAATAAGTTGTAGTCATGAAACCCCATGAAATAATTATTACTTTATTATTTAAAGTAATAATACTTTAAAATGTATTATTTTTAAATACTTGTGTATGTTTCCAATAAAGAAGAAATTCTCCAATGAAACCAAAAGATTATCAAAATCAGAAAACTAGCATTGACATATAATACTCTTATCTAATTTATAGGCTTTATTCAGATTTCAATACTATTTTTATGGTCAAAAAAATCAAATGTCATGGGTCATGCCCTGAATTCAGTTGTCATTTCTCTTTAGTCTTCTTTATTCTGACGCAGTCCTTTAGTGTTTTCCTGGCAGAATGCTGTTAATATCGGTCTTCAGCAAAACATAATTAAGAGAGGAAACATCATGCCAAAGCCAGTGGATTCGTATGGATGGTGGCTTGAGTGGGATTTGTCCTGCCTTTGTAGCCTTCCTCTTGCAGGGATAATAGGTGTGAGTATGTTTCATTATTCTCTTAGAAATCCTGACCTGTACCACAAATGTGAAGGACCAACTGGAGAACTAGGTGATCCATCAGTTTATTAATCAACTCATCTCATGCCAATGAATAGCAACAAGAAGATCCCAGAACACCTGAAATATGTCTAAATTTTCTAAACATTTATAAAAAATGGGGGACATTATAGAAAAAAACTTACAAAAACATTTGTTTCAATCACTGCATGCTTAGATGCAAGCTTTAAAAGTACTTCAATGTAAATAATTAGAAATGGAGATGTTTATAATTGGTTAAAGGCTCATTATTCCTGAACCAATGTGCAGAATTTGGTTTATAAGTATAAGAATAAAGACATTTGGATCAATTCTCTTATCTTTTTATTAACACTTAAAGTAGCCTACAAAAAAACACATATATAAAAGTCTTCTAAAGCCTGAGAAGCTCATTTGCTTTTATGTAGGACACACTGATGGTTTTAATTTTTAATCTCTCAGACTGCATCTGTAGAGCAACAAGCAGATACTTTAGCAAGGAATAAATTGTTCCAAAAAGGCATGGGCAAGTGTGTCTTATAACTTTTTTTTTCTGAAAGATCTCAGTAAAATATTTTCTGATATGTTTTCAAACCAATGTATTCTATCACATGAAAGACAAGTTACCTGACAACATGGTTATTTGCAGTTATGTTATAACCAGATTTGTAACTGACTCTCCCTCCTCCAGTCTTATGAAAGAGAAGGAAGAAATTATAGCCTTGAAGAGAATATTCCCAAATGGAGTGAGCTAGGGCATCTAAATCTATAGCTGGGGCTGCAAAACACTTTGCTTCATTCAAGAAACATTTTCTTGAGTTGATTTTTTATGTACCTATCTTAAAAATAAGATAGTGCTCCCAGAGTAAGATTAGTAGCAGCAAACCCTTACTTACCCTGTTTTCAGTAGTGAAAACAGATTATAAACCCCATTTTTCTACTACAGAGTTATAAATACAACAGCCGTGCCGAAATCATTTGTTCACTGAGTTCAGCTCAAGATTATACTCAAGTCTGATTGCAAAAGCCCATTCATATGGAAGAAGAGACAAAAGGCTAACAACTCTCTGGGAAGAGCGTCAAAGACTCAATGTTTACAAGAAGAAATTGAGGGGAAGATTGGAGAATAATTTTCTCTGGGGGAATGATGATGGCTTAGGGGTCTTTTGTAGAGAAAGTTCTTTGCTAGGATTAAAGGCAGGATTATTGGTGGATAATTGAAAAATGGAATGGAGAACCTCTTAAAATGGCAATGTATTCAGAATATCCAGGGGGTTCTTGAAATGTGAATTCTAAGGAAATAGGTAGTATTTAAGAAGAAAAGATAAACTCAAACTCACTATGTCAAGTGATAAAACTGCAAGCGAATCACAAAGGGATGGAGTTGCCAATGCCTTCAGAGGAAAAACAAAAGACCAATAACACAGTGACTTGGGTCGGCTTTTAAGTCAAGGTACCAATTCAAGAAAATCCTAATGAGGAAGAACTCAATCTGCTCTGCAGATTATGTTATGACTATATAATGGCTAAAGAACAATAGTAACTAGAACCTGAATAAATGTTATATTGCTCATTGTATCTAATTTCACAAAGTTATTGTTACCTTAAATCATACATTTATCAGAACTGTTTTATGTAAAAGTAATGTTTGAGGTTGACTCCTCATAGTAAAATTAAGTGCTTCTAAATTTAAAGTATGTGAAACAGGATGTGCTATGGGCTGAATGTTTGGGTCTCTCTAAAATTCATATGTTAAAATCCTAACCTCCAAATCAATGCTAGTAGGAGGCAGGGCCTTAGGGAGGTAATTAGGTCAC